AATTAGTGTTAGAGTGCATATGAAAGGGTTTAATTGCCTTCAGACATGTTGGCTTGCCAGAGTTAGCAAGGTCGTAATGGCTTTTATTAGCCACTAGAATAGTAGCAAGGCCTGGATCTTCCCAAGAATGTCATTCTGTCATTAAATCAAAAATTAAATCCTATTTCCAAGCTTGCTTCAACTTATACTCCGACTAATACTATCCAGTACTTCCAGCAAGAGTTGAAGCAAAGATGTCAGGGTAAAGAGACAATAAGGTTCATCTTGGACCTACAAAGCCATAGAAAACGTACAATGCTCTAGGCCAGTGATTCCCAAACTGTGCGCCGCGCCGCCCCGGGGAGCCGCGAAATATTGTAAAAGCTTCTATTTAAGAAAATTTGCAGTGATTTGCAGGCTCATCCATCACATTAAATATTACATATTAATTTAATGTTAATAAAGTAAACAAATAATGAATATACACGAGTTTTATTTATTTTTATCTCTTACTTACAAAAAGTTTTAATTGAAAAAGGGCGCCACGACTAGGAAAAATTTGGGAACCACTGCTCTGGGTATTATTTGTAATCGCAAGACTCATGCAACTGCAAGAATATACCAGAAGAAATAACATTAAATAATTGTAATTAATAAATAGTATCTTGCAATCGTAAAGTTCGTAATTTTTCTTTCCCTCCACTTGAATGATTTTTGGTAAAGTCAATATGCCACGCAGTCGTCTAACTCTTATCAATCAGGATTTGCATAATAGATAGCGCTAATGGCTAATTTTCCATAGTTAGCTTAATAAGCATCTGTAGGCTTAGAGAAGTTTGAGGATATTTGGCTTTTAAGTAAAAAAAAATCATACTCCAATTCAGCCCTTATTTTAGTGATCTTTTATTTGTCAAAGCAACGACCAGTCTAGAATAATAGAAACCTCAACTTTTCTCGAGATGGTTACAACTCTTATGGCTATGAAGAATGATATTACAGAGATGATGCAATAAAATAGAGATGGCACTTGTTTTAATATACGGAATCATACCATTGAGCTTTACAACACTATTAAAGACGACTTTGTTGAGGGTAGTAATATTCGGAGCATACTTACTATTGGTCGTGGCTTCGGTAAGGATATTAATAGTATCATGTTTTGAGTTTGAGATATTAGCGATGTAGGTGAGAGTACCGACGACTGCAAGGGCAAAAAGAAGAGATGCAAGGCTAGTGTGGACAATAATGATGATATTAACTGAGACAATTTAAGCAGGAGTGAGGCGTACTTGCAGAGGAGATTCATCAGACTGAAATTGCTGGTGTCTGGCTGTGGTGCAGGAAGGCATTCTCGACGCCCCGTTGTCTTAGGTACTAGTCTGTCAACAGTAGATGTAAGCGAAACTTCGTCTTTGGCTCCACTGGTAATGATTGACAGACCGTTTTCTTTGCTTGTATCGCAGGCCTTAAAATGGCCAGCTGCGATATCGACTGAGTCAAGCTCAATTGCGAGTCCTGCTGGTGCATTTGCGTCTCGTTGATCCTGATACTGATGCCTCTGAAATTTGGTGATAGAGGTCTGGTGAAACTGGTGGGAGCCGGTTGAATTGCTGGAATTCGAGCATTCACCTAGTAGGGCTTCATGCAGATGATCTGAGCGCCTCAGCTCGGGCAAGGCAGAAATGGTACTGCAGGACGAATTGGTACCAAGTACTGGAGTAAAAATAGGTGATGAGTGCGTATAAATGAAAAAGCAAATGTGTGTAGAATAGGTTGCTTGTTAAAAAAGTGAAAATCTAAATGAGGGAACAAAGCCAAGTTGGTCCGTAAAAAGGCCTAGATGACTGGTGAGCACCTAATTCTCAGAATAGATTGAATAACGAAATTATAGAATAGCAGATTAAGACATAAAAAATAATTAATTGATATGGCATGCCAGGTTATTGAGCACTAAATGCTAGCAGAAGTTACGAGCTAAATGTTAATGAGGGGTAGACATGTTGATTATAAGAAGGATAAATGGGGGGCCAAAAGGCAAATTGATGAATATATAGAAATGTGGATGCATTTAAAATGTATTTAATTAAAAGGATTGGGTATAGTTGATAAAAGTGATAGATAAAAGAGAGCATCGATCGATTAAAAGGAGCGCAAATGCATATTTAGGTATAGATAGAGCGTCAGCATAATAAAGGATGATGGTGATGGTCAGGTATATGGAAGAGTGTAAGATGATCGCTTAAAAGAAATAGGTCACAAGTCCCCTCATCAATAGATTGTTGTACTAATCACTTGCAGATAGAGGAAGAAAGCATAAAGAGGGAAGAAAATGCAAAAAAGTAGATAAATTTACATATTGTCATTTTCAAAAAGTGCAACTGTTAGTAGGCTAGATTAGATGGATGGATTGGTGGGTTGAGGATAGAAGATAAGAGCATAGGCAGATGAACCAAACGTTTGATAGAAAGATATAAAAGCAAACGCCATTGAGAACAAGTGAAAGGGGCTAGACGAACAAATTACTTCGATGGATGACTTGATTATATGAGGCAATGAAATGCTAAGGAAGAGAAAGATTAGAACCCTAAGATACGCCCTTATCGCAAACACTTTCCGACATCATAAGGTCAGTAGCCATGCAGTCGAAACCTGCTGATGCATACACAAGATTCTATTTGAAAACAAAATAATCCGAAAGGGCTTATGAGCCCAGAAATAGTTGAATGCATGGGCAATACACAACCTCAGAAAGAATGTAATGTCGAATGCAGGGAACATTTAGTGGGGCATAGAAATTAGCGAAGCTTTCAAAACACCTGAAAAGACACGAATAAAAAGATTGTGCTGAAACTACCTCTTAGGAATGGATAGAATTAGGACTAGAAATAATTACTGTTTAAGGAAAAGTTTGATTCACCTAGAGTCTCAACAGATTTAAGACGAACGCAAACAAACACAGAACGCAATCACAAATCAAAACACGCGTCAAAATTGCATCAGCGAGTTTGTGGGAATGGGCATGAAATCATGTGTCATCTCATTAGAATGGCCAAATTAGGTTAAAAGTTAGTAGGATTGTATCTAGTCACAATTCCTTGCTTAGAGTTAAGGGATGATTTAAGCTTGATTAACTCTGTCAAGGTAAGATTAGCGAAAGTTCATCACAGATTCATCGGGGCTGCAAGACGGGAAGTCGAGTAATACGCAAGCCAACAGTCAGAAATGCAAGATAATCTTTCTGCGGTTTCCGGTGAGGCCAAGTTAAGTACCCATTCCATCCAACTTTTCAAAAGACACTAAAATTTCAGTGACAAGAAAGCAGTAAAAGACTCTTAACGCCCAACTTTCATACAAAGGTAAAAGGATAAATTCTGCTTTCTGTCACAGCCATTATAAATTTAAATCTAATTTCGCTATTAATAAGGAAGCATTGTTATGAATTATATAGAATGTTTGGACAATTAAGCTATTGGTGTTGAATCAGAATTGTAGGTCATCAGAGCTATTGTAGATTTTTCATTACAGATAAGGGAAAATTGGCCTTAGTTTCCAGAAGTCAGGTGAAGTGGAAGAAAGTGAAATACTGAAATGTGTTTACACTATTTCATTTAAGGAAATGAAGGACAGATGGTGGAATTTTCCCACAACTATATGAGTAGATCTTATGTTGCCAATGAGTTTCACATAGCATTGCTGCCTAAAAGATATTCTCATCCAGATTCGAATGGATCGCAGTTTCGACCTCGCCTTACCTAGTCTCATCAGCAACCCCAGCAGGAATCGAACCATGATAGAGAAGCGTGTAATTTATACATGTTAA